CGAGTTGGAGACATGACTCGACGAGTTGTAGATGGAGGATGAAACCCTAATTTCTGGGGTTTTACACCCTATTTAAAGGGTCATTATCCTCCCTTATCCTCCCTCACAACCCCTTGTGAGTCTAAAAACCCTAAATCGTCGCTTTTCCCTCTTTTTGTGTGATTTTAAGCTCTGTGGTGGATTGTGGAAGGAAGATCTTGATGTACTCAAGCTTGGAACAAGAGGAAGGTTGTAGATCTGACTTCTTCTTCATCTTAGCATCGTTTTTGAGGTAACAAGTTCTTACATTGACCTTCTTCTATCTAGATCTATGCATGTATGAGATTAGGGACACTTTGGCAATGTGGATATGTTATTTTGGGTATTAGGCATGATCTGAAGTTGCAACTTCAGATCTAGGCTTATCTTGGTCTGTAAGAGCATAAAGTTTCAACCTTTAGTGAGTTAATACCTTCTTCATCCCTTAGGACCTTTCTTTAGCTTGATTTAGGCTATTATCACCTTGCATGTACATAAAGTTTTCAACTTTACGTAAGAAGTATGCCTTAGGAGCTTAGATCTGCATTATGGAGCTTTAAAGTGGCTTAAAAACCATTTGGATGGAGAAAGGACTGAAGGGACTCGACGAGTTGGATGGCCAACTAGACGAGTTCGATGAAGAATGCCGTGCATGGATTTCTACTTGGACTCGACGAGTCAGTAGGGTGACTCGGTGAGTGAGTTAGGGTTTTCCCGACAATTAGACGTGCATGAACTCGGCGAGTTGCAGGGAAACTTGACGAGTCAACGGGGGATTTCACAACTTCTCGAGTTCTAGAAGGACTCGATGAGTCATTGAAATGCACTCGACGAGTCGGGTCAACATGGATTGTTGACCTTGACCATTAACTTTGACTTTGACCAAGGAATGACTAGTTGACCTCTGGGGTATTTTGGTAAATTGAGAATTTATGGAAATGATCTTATGGTAAATATAGGTGGTGGGGTCTGTGGTGGTGATTCAAGAGTTTGAGCTTATCTTTTCAGTTTGACACTGCGAGATGAGTTTTCCTCACTATACTCAAGGGTTGAAGGCACTAAGACGGGCCCTTTAGATTGTTATCTTGATATGCTATGCTAGTATGATCTGATAGATCGATATCATGGTAGATAGGATGGTATTATGTTATTACGTGGCTATAATCCTTTAGATCGGTTTGTTTGTCTATAGACTATTATGTGGTTATCTGTTATATATGCACATGTTTGATTGACGGTTGAGGCTTATCTGTTTTGTGCGAAAGCCAATAGACCTGGGCATTCCAACCTGTTGGTTGTAGGCCATGAGTATTCCATCTCGAGGATGATTGGACTCGTAGTATGTAGGCATTCCAACCTGTTGGTTGTGGGCCTGGGGTATTCCATCCCGTGGATGATTGGACCCATATTATGTTGGCATTCCAACCGGATGGTTGAGGGCTTGGAGTATTCCAACCCGATGGTTAACTGGACCCATAGTATGTTGTTTGTGATTATATGTGTATTATTGAGTGTATGAGTATTTTGGGGGAACTCATTAAGCTTTGGGCTTACAGTTTCAGTTTTTGTTTCAGATACATCATATGATCGTGAGGAGGCAAAGGCGTGATCATACAGCTCCTGTTATTTATGACTTTGTTTATGGGATACTCTGATATTTACTATTTTGAAAACAAATTTTTGTAATGATTAATGGTTTTGAAATGTTTTTAAAAGTTTAAATTTGGCATGATTTTTTATGGGTGTTACATATACCGGACTGCACACTTATTTACACTATAAGCTTTCTCTAGACCATCTGAACCTAAATGCAAACTTGATTGCTATGGAAACTGGACACCTTATAAAAGAGCAACCTTCTATCAGTATTTCGACTTTGAGAGTTGAAATAGTTGAAACATTGGGCTATACTCCTTCATAAAAGAAGGTTTGGGTTGGAAAGCAAAAAGCAATTGAACATGTCTTTGGAAACTAGGAAGATTCTTATGTCACTTTACCAAAATATCTAGGCGCACTTCAAAAGTTCAAACCAGGAACTATAGTTGAAGGGTGTGTTTCAAGATCGACCGATATGGATAAAGTTGAATTTAGGCGTGTTTTTTTTAGCTTTTGCTCCCTCTATCAAAGGGTTTCACTATTGTCGACCGGTGATTAGCATTTATGGGACATACTTGTATGGTAAATATAAGGGTAAGATGTTGATTGCAATGAGAGTTGATGGTAATAATCAAATATTTCCACTTGCATTTGCTATTGTAGAAAATGAATCTTATGATACTAGGATTGGTTCCTTTCTTATGTCAATAATCATGTGGTGAAAGACCGTGGAAGCATATATCTAATATCTGATCGTCATGGTAGAATTCTTAAGGTTGTCAATGAGCATGGATCTCTATGGTTAGAGCCACGTGGTTTTCATAGGTATTGTTATGTTTCTTAAGTATTCTTTTATGACATTTCAATAACTTGCTTCATTAACTTACATTAATATTAGTATTTTTTAACTTTTAAAGGTATTGTTTACGACATTTCATCAACTTTTATGACAAATTTCGTAATTCATAATTGAAAACTTTAGCTTATCATGTCGGGAGTCAGAATCAAATTCGAAAGTTCAACTCCATCATGGAAGAAATTGGGAAGTTAAATCCACGTGCTCGACAATGGTTGGAGAGTCATCCACTTAGTAGATGGACACTTGCACATGATGTTGGAAGGATATATGGGTTGCTCACAACAAATTTGTTAGAGATTTTCAACATTGTACTTAAATGTGCTCGTTTTTTTACCAATCACAGCCTGTGTGCAATTTACATTCTATAGAATGGTGTATTATTTTGAGGTGAGATGTCCTTTAGGATCTAGTTTTCAAGCTCATGGAGATGCATATACTCTACATGTTGTAAAACAAGCAACATTGATGGTAAAAGGAAGTGCATATTCCTTAAGATCTTTTAACCGAGAAAAATGTATATTTGAGTTGACAACTCAAAGAGGCCGAAATTTGCAAGTAGTTAATTTGGAACAAAAAACTTGCATATATGGTAAATGGGAGACATTTAAAGATCATTGTTCTCATGTCTTGAGTGCATGTACCAAACTTTCTTTGAATAGCTGGCAAGATAGATGTTACTCGATTGAATACTATTGTGCTGCTTGGGCACCTGAGTTCTCCCAGCTTCCTCATGAAACGTATCGGCTACAATCACTATTTAATGAATTACTTTCAAATTTAGAGCTATTACGAAATAAAAAATGTCGTATTCGCTCAACAAGACTAAAAAATGGTATGGATATTAAAGAAGGAAGAAATGCCAATCTTTGTGGAATTTGTAGGCAACTGGTCAATAATCGAAAAAGATGTCCTTTTATGCTAAGATAGTTTAAAAAAATATGTTTTTATGGTATTTGTTGTGGGTATTCTCTTATTTTTTTTTATAGGTAATGATTTGTTACTGGTTCAAGTTCAAGCTAATTGTCATGTTTTTCTTTTTGTAATAAACACCGTTGGAGTTTTTTTTTTTTTTTTTTTTTTTTGTAACAAACAATGTTTTTGGTTTTTTTTTTTTTAATCTTTTTAAATATATATATATATTTTTTTACCTTATAAACATTGTATGTGAATGTTGGAGTTTTTACACCTTAAAACATATTGAATTTTTAAGTTATGATGGCTAAAATTTTATGGTAAAAGGGTTGTATAAGAAAAACGAATATTTAAAAAAAAAACAGAAAAAAAGATTCAGAAAAACTGTTAATTTAAAAAAAATAGTAAAAAAAATAAAATAAAAGCTGTCATATATATATATATATATAAACGAAAAAAAAGGTGGAATAAAAGAAAAAAAAATATTAAAAAAAAAAAGTAAAGAAATATGAGAATGGTAGAAGATTTAGCAACTGTTCAAAGTAACGCGTTTTTCGACAACACCCACTAGGGACTTGCTAGAAAATGGTAGAAGATTTAGGCATTTAGCTCGATCGACTTGTCACGGAATGATTAAAACCAGAAGATCCCAAGTAGAAAGATAAACATATAAATACTCGGTCACGATGGCCTGAGTGTGACGGGACTTGTGGGTATCTTCATTAGTCTCTATGAGTGGCCATTGATTGAAAATATCGTATGTACGGCGGTGACAAGATTCATTTTGTTTTTTTCGTTACCTTACAATCTCAAATAAATAATATCATAAATTACTTTCAGCCCGGTCCACAGGGTGTCATCCTTGCCACAGCTTCATTATTGACTTGAGGGCGGGAGCCGAGCGGAATCGATTGAAATTCGAAACGTAATTTTCGCAATCGATTTGTGCAATGATGCCGTATGATTCATATTCTTTGTTTCGAGTATGTAATGAGGTATGCATTTTTTTCTGATCGAAATCTTTATACTTTTTCCATTCCCTCCGTATGTGTATTGATGTTTGTTGTTTCCTGTATTATGCGTCTTTATGTAATGATCCCCCCATCCTTCACAAAGGATCGTTGTTAATTAATGTGTAAATCGATCTCACGTTGTTCTCTTTTAGTTTTTACAAAGCAAGATTGTTTTTTATGAACTTTACTCTGATAATACTCTTGGGGTAGGTAATTATAAGAAAAGAGGTCTTTGCATATTGAATATCAATTGTTTTTGTTCATACGTCTGATAAGTGGATTTAGTGGATGAATCTCTTCCTGCACGCCATGCGTTTGATTATTCATTTGTATGAATCTTGAGTGCTTTATATGTGTTTTCAATATTTTTTATTGGTGTATACAAATATACTTAAATTTATGCACTTATGTGTATTGTTGTGTTTAGTACTTTAGCTAATGTATCTCCTCTCATGTACATAGTTAGTGTATGTACTCATATAAATTGCTTTTTTGTATGTGTGTAATGTACGATTTCAAAATCTTCATAGATTTTATGTATGCAAGACATTATTTTTTTTGGTAATTCCATATCATCAAATAAATAATTAATGCATGTTTATATCTCCACAGACTGTTGAGAGCAAGTCTTATTTAAACACTCGTATTAAGCAACAAAACACATTTAGGGCCAATAGATTGTATATTATTTTTATTTATGTGTCTTTAACATACGCATGCGGAAAAGAAAATGAAGTACTTAAGATCACAAAATGGACCTCAACATGAACATATATTAATTATCGAGGTTCTAATGTTGTCATTGTGATGTTATTTCCAGAAACTAGATAACATTGAGGCATACTCCCTTTGGCAAAAAATGCTGGTTGTTTAGGTCGAGGCAATGCACCTTCTTCACCAAACATCAAAACCACAGATGACATAGTTGGTCTGTCATTTGCATGATGCTGAACACATAAAAGCCCGATATGTATTGAACGAAGTACTTCTGAGGCTACACATGAATTACGCATATGCACACCAAGCAACTCCATAGCCTTACCTTCTTCAAAGAGTCTCCATGACTTAAAAAACCATAATAACCCCCAACAAAATTAAATTAAATGTATATAGATCAATGATATTTCAAAAATATTGAAGTAATAAAAAACTTACATGCGCAAGAAGATTATCACTGTCATTTTCATGAGAAAATCCTCGATTTTTCTTCCCGCTTATTATTTCCAGCACAAGAACACCAAAACTGAAGACATCTGATTTTTCGGAGAAAATCCCATCTAGAGCATACTCTGGTGATAAATAACCCCTATAGGAAAATTCGTGATTGTGAACATTTAGAAATTTGTCTTGAAATATATATATATATATATATATATATATATATATATATATATATATATATATATATATGTGTGTGTGTGTGTGTGTGTGTGTGTGTGTATATATATACACACACAAACAAAGAAAGTTGCATGGTTAACTAATGGATTCTAATTACAAAGTTCCAACTATGTTGTTCGTATTTGCTTCATTTTCATGTTCTGTGAACATTCTTGCAAGACCAAAATCTGATATCTTAGGATTCATGTCAACATCCAGCAAAATGTTGCTTGCTTTAAGATCTCGATGAATAATTTTAAATCGTGAATCTTGATGAAGATAAAGGAGTCCTCGAGCAATCCCATGAATGATGTGAAAACGATCTGACCAACCCATTATTGAACTTTTGATTTTATCTGCACAATTTAAGTTATCAGTATGATTTACTTTAAGAAAAATGGATAGCAAGCAAGGAGAAGAGGAATTAATTAATGTATCATAGAAAGTAGAGCTATACCAAATATAAATAAGTCTAGACTTTTGTTAGCCATGTATTCATAAATCAACATGCTTTCATTTCTTTGGATGCAGTATCCTAAAAGTTTTACAAGATTCCGATGTTGAAGTTTAGCAATGAATTTAAGTTCATTCTTGAACTCTCCAAGACCTTGGCTTGATGTTTTGGACAACCTTTTCACAGCTATTTCTTCTCCGTCATCGAGTACACCCTAAAGATTGAAATATATATTTTTATATACTTCAAGAAGTATAATGTGTTTTGTAACTATGAACAATAAATAGAAGAGCAAATTACCGAAATCGTCCCTATGGTTTGGTCAAAATTATACGTTTGACCTCTAAATTTTTTTTTCACTCGGATCGTCCCTGTGGTTTAATTTTGTTGCATTTTTCGTCCCTTACATACATAAAATTAGGAACTAAACGTGCAATTTTGACCAAACCATATGGACGAAAAACGCAACAAAATCAAACCATAGAGACGATCCGAGTGTAAAAAAATATTAGGGACCAAACGTATAATTTTAACCAAACCACAGAGACAATTTCATTAATTTACTCTAAATAGAACAATGTTGTTTAATTTTGCTACCTTGTAAACCGAACCAAAACCACCTTCTCCTAGTTTTTTGTCATTTGCAAAATTGTTAGTAGACTTGGATATCTTAGTCAGGCTGAAAGATGATAACTCTGTATCATCGTCTTGGTTATCCATGATATACTTTTCCTCTATAGTTTCTGCCGTTTTATCTGCAAATGATAGCAAACCAAACTAATTTGAGTTAATGAACGATTTGTGTTAAAAATTGTTATATCAGCGATCACTTTATCAAAAGTAATCATAGAATTACCTGGAAATTTCACTTGGGATCTCTTCCTCTTGCTCCAAGTACCATACAAGATTGCTAAAATCAAAATCACTATAACAAGGATAGATAAAACCGATACCACCACTACGATCTTTTGTCTCTTTTTGTTGGAATCAGCTGGTTTGAAGGTAGATTGTGGGATTGATGGAACTAGTAACAAAATCATAATAAGTAATTAATATTTAATGGTGTTTGAAAACCCGAACTAACATGAACAGTTAAAAAGGTGTCTTGCATGGTTGTCTTTTTAATTTAACATTTTTATATTAAACGTAAGTTATATATGTAGATAATCTTACTTGTAATATTTAAATCGGAGATAGCCATTCTTACGTATAGATCCTGGCTTTCATCCACTGTTCTAATATCTATTAGATCGTCGAACCACAGCAAGCATCCACTTCCGTTGATTCTGATATCAATATTTGCATACGCTGTACACGAACAATTCTGCTTGCATGCTGTCTCACATTCGCCAAGTGTCATGCTCTGATTGTACCATGAATGCCGAGTGTCTGGCATTTTAACATTTTTAAACACTCGAAAGCCATCTCCATGCGGACAACTTAAAGCAGTTCTCCGGCGACACCCACTTGACCACTCGGAGGCACTCCATTCGTCTGGGTTGCGTGGTTCGAACCCTTCCATGCAACTACAAGCCGGTGAGTTCTTCGGGTTGCATCTTCCATATGAACCACATTGTCCAAAACGGCTACACATGTCAATATCCGCGTTCCAGTATAGGAACCACATCTGCGTTCTTTCGATCCAGTTGAGTCGAAACGCATCTCCCTCTGGACTAAAGTAGACACGCGTCACAACTGAAGTGTTAACAAGTGTGTACCCGTAGTACACCTCCTTATCATCCAAAACAAATTTGTGTGTGAATAATGAGTTTGAAGTATGACTAGGCATGCCATTGAACGTAAGACCGTTCCATGGTCCAAACCTCAAGAAAGGAACAGGATTTTGTACTTCTTTGAAGAACAACTGAGGAAACCCATTCGTATCCATGAATGCTACATACTCTCCTGGTGAAGGATCGTCAAGGCTCTTCCATGATGACCACCGCCTATCCCTCCCAGAGACCAAATCCTTCCCAAATTTCATTCCGGCAAGAAATGCATCTCCAGGGTGATCAAAACTTTGCCAAATGAAACTTCCTTGGCCACTTTGATCTCTAACAACAAGATTTCCAGGGTTTAAGAGTTGTGCCACCGGATTTATGGGTGTGGGAGATACCGGGCCAGGGTTTGATGACCAGACGATGGTGTTGTTGCTACCAGCGATAACCAATAGGGATCCGTTGGTGTCAACTCTGAAGACACCTGACAAATCGGTTATTGGTTTCTCTCTGTTAGCAACCCACACCACTGTTTGTGGGGATTTGTTTTTGTACCATATCCCCAAATACCGGTTTGTAGAGTTTCTGGGACTGAAAAACCCGAGTTCGTACATTTCATCAGCTGAAACAAGGGTATCCCCGTCAAGGATGGCTTCATCAGCTGCTATGGTGTCTTGTGCCCTACAAATTCGCAGATCAGACGTGATCAGGAGGCCAAACATTAAGAAATAATGGAGGACCTTCATTGAAGTTTTTTTTGGAGAATTAAATGTTAGTTCTCTTTTTTCTTTGAATGGCTGAGTGTTAATTCATTTGGAATATATATATATATATGCATTTTTTTCAAAGTGTGTTAGATCAGAAGAAGACACTAAGGGTTGACCTGATGAGTGATTCTCCAAGATATTGCTCCGGAATTTGGACTTAGGCACGAGCATGCATTTGGTCGACGACACTAACATCAAACCCCACTTGCTATGTCGGTCATGACTGACTTTTTTGGAATTCAATTAAATACATTTTTTTTAACGACGGTTCATCCACGGTTAAATTTTAGGTAATGTCCAATTAAACTCTTAAAAAGTTTAATGGAATGGATTGTTACATCAGTATTCCACTTATTATACCATTTAACTTATTAAACTCTACACTCTATTAAACTCTTAAAAGTTTAATTGATTGCTACATCACCATTTTAATTTTTTTATATAAATAATATTAATAAATAAAACTAGAATATTACATTAATTAGAAATTTAAAGTTACAATTACTAAATATTAATTAAAGATTACAATTTAGAAATTAAAAGTTACAAATAAGATGTTATTTTTTTAAAATATTTTTAAGATTTATATATTTTTTATCGTTTATAATAAAAAAATTATATATTAACTTAATAAATTAAATTATTGAATATAAATAAAATGAAGTATAAAACAAAAAATAATGATGTATAGTTTGTTTTTTACAAAAAAATGAAGTAAATTAACTTTCAATATAATAATATATAGATTGTATTAAATTGAGAATGAAAAAAAAAAAAACAATTCTCATACCACCGTTGAATGGGATTAAACCTCTCATTCATTCAACTCCACCCACAATGCTAACTAATACTATCAATGCTAACTAATAATATCGATTCAATGCCACCTCATCATTTTTTATCCATTGAACCCTCCATGAAACCCCTATTGGGGATGACCTTATGGGAATCACTACTACAATCAACCATGGTATAGTACCTTTTTTTTTTTAAAACCGTGTATTGTATTAAGTATATATATTTGGTATCAACTTTTGTACAAATTGATACTCGTATGTACCAATTGACACAAATAAAATTGGACCCCTAAACATAATTTCTTTTATGTATAAGCAAAATTCATTAATACTAAGATAAATCGATAATTGTTAAAAAAAACAATTAGATAAACTATAATCGAACATAGTTACAAGAATCGTGATGCTCTCATAGAAGTTTTCGCGATAAAGTTGTTCATCAACTTTTCACAATCAATATTCCCTAGTATATTGGTCTCAATAACTATTATTTCCAATCCATTAAGTTTTTCTTGTAATATTGTGGAGATGAAGTACAAATTTAACAATTTCAATTTTTAGAAACTAGTTTCTATAGACACAACAGTTGCTAGAATAGTCATCAAGACTCTTTGCATTAATTGCATTATGAAAAACCGACTTTTTTCATATATTTTAAAACATCGGTTGTGTTCGTAGTTTCATTCGGTAAGAACATGTCAACCAACTTTAACTCTAGATAAAGTTAATTGACATCAATATTTGATCGTTCACCATACTTAAGTGTGGTAAGAACTAGTCAACCACCTATACCAACTTGGCAAGTTTAAGAGAAGGAGTAGCATCGTAGCGACTTACGACTTTGATTGGCAAAATTAAGACGTGGCATTGACTTTGGCCTGATGATGATACATTTTAGTCAATTTTGTTTTCAGACTTAAATTACTAGTCTACTATAACAAATTGTATGTAAAAAATAGCCCCTCTCCACAACATTGGCCATATGCGGTCGTCCACCTTGCATACTCTCAAAGACACCCATGTTGAATGATTTAATGCACAAACAATTTTTGGAGAAAGGGATTTCACCTTACACTAAAAAATAAGACCATTCCTAACACGTAAAAGATTTCACCTTACACCAAAAAATAAGACCATTCCTATAGGGCCAAATAATCCAAAAGAGTGACCTTATGCATAGAGATTAGGGATTTGAATTAAGTTCAAAATTATTATCTCCACCGACGTTTAAAAAAAATAATGAAAAAGTAATTTTTTTTCCTTTACTAAATGTTTTATTTGTTATTTTTTAATTTATTAACTAATATTTTAGTTTTTATGTTAAGTGTAGTCTTTTGTAACTTTATAATACACATATTAAATAAGTTGGTTGATAGAGTATTACTATGATATTCAAAATTTTGTAGCATTGTCGTACCAAGATAACACAGTTGATACTACTGTCAACCAAACATGTTGACAATCAAATATATTGGCTACCAATTTAATGAATCCAGTTCGTAATATGTTGGTTGGTTTTATATGATATATATTTAACATCCTTGTATTATTGACAACCAATTTGTCTGTAGGTACCGATGCTTGTACCAAAAGTTATTAGAAAAGTGCGTGGTTAACTTTTAGTGACCAATGATTACACACAAAAAGGCATTTAGAAAAGGATATTGTGACCGGTGGACGAGTTCTAGGACTTTTTTAGTGGCAGAACTTTATTGCCAATCCATCAAGGGTTCAATCTTGTTTTTAAAAGAAATTACAGAGATGGAATACACTAATATAACAAACACAAATCCATATTTCACATTATCAACCACAAACTATAAACATATATTCAAAAATTTTACAACACATATTCCATAAATATAAAACAACTAGGATGAGCAAGTGGATTACATTTTGCATGAATTTTTTCAATAGTTCAGCATTATTGTGCGAAACGAAACGAGCTTCATACCTTTCACATTCTTCTCGTATTTGTTGTTGAAGACGTGCATAAAACTTTTCATGTTCTTCATATATATGTTGTTCACCCCCTCTGTTATGTTTGCTCACTTTCAATTAGTCTCAGCAACAAGCCTACTATCTAAAGTGTTTTTCAAAAAAACATATAATTACTTAATTAGTAAAAAAATTATAGATAGAAATAGCAATGTACTCGCTCATTTTACCAAAAGAAAATGATAAAACAAAGAATTTATAAGTAGACAATACACTTTATTAAACAATACACATGATATCAGAACATTTACCCTTTCGTCCATTGTAGCAACATATTTTTATTTTAATCCATGATAGCAACGTACTTTACTTTTTTACCTATACAAATTATGCACTTATATTTTTCTATTCATAATAGCAATATATTATTTTTTATGCATAATAACAATGTACTTATCTTTTTTTACCAAGATAGGTAGTGTAGTTACATTTTTATCTGTAGTAGCCTACACATGCATACATTTTTCCATGATAACAACATAAATTTTTATCTGTAAAATAGCAACACATTTTGTTTTATTTTACTAATATAGAGAAGGTACTTTACATTTTTATTCATAATAGCCACATATGTTAGTTTTTATATATAAAGGCAACATACTTTATTTTTATCCATAATAGCAACATACTTTACTTTCTTTTAGCAATATAGGAGTTCTACTTACATATGTAACCATAATAGCAAAAAATTTAATTTTATCTATAAAAACACAATAAATAAATAAGTATACCTTTTGTTGAGATTGAGCGTAGTCCTAGGAGGATGCTTAACATTCGTATGGTGTCCCCATCACTGAGAAGTGGGGATCCGAGGATCCTACCGTAGAAACTAGACTCTTATTTATATAACACCACATTCACTTATTCAATGTCCTAATATAATAAACCTTTGATGAAATTTACACACATATAGGTCAAAAT